GCGCGAACCGCTAGGGTAACCAGAGCCCAGCTCTTCAGTGTCCCACGTCCCTTTTAGCCCGTCAGTGTGGATGTTTTCCTCAAAGACCCAGCCTTCGATGCAGGCGTCGCGGGTGACCTTTGCGGCAACGCTCGCGGCACCGACGATCTTGAACTTGTCGTCCGCCTTACTTTCCACGGTGAAGTTGATTCCAGGAAAACACGAGGAGAGATAGGCATTGTAGGTCTCCGTGTTACCAAGGGCATCGACGTATACCTGTGAACTGGATGAGCGAGATTGCCGGATGAACGAAGAAAGGATGAGCACCTCGGTGAGCTCGAGACCTTTCTTCAATACGTCCTGGATCAGAAGAACGGTTGCGTCTCGTGATTGAATGTTCAGATTAGTGGGTGGGCGGCGCAGCATGCCGGCTGAGATCGCCTGGGGACTACAGTGGAATTACAACAGGGTACGGTGAAAAGGCCGTGGGAAATACCTTATGACTCTGACAGACCAGCCTAGGTTAGCGGGGTCAGAGCTCAGGGTGTCCAGCAGCCCTGATCGTGTTGCTGAGGTGAGAGTCTTGGAGTCTGCCGCGCGTCGATTGAGCGAAACCAGAGCTTTGAAGTCAGCCTACCAGCAAATCCGAGGTCTTCTAGCTGGTCTTTATATGCGACAGGACAGTACGCCACGCCATAGACCAGAGGACCCAGAACTGGACCGCGACCGGCTTCATCGACACCCAAGATGTAGGGACCGTCTGCGGTTGGCGTTGGGCTATGATACGTATATGACTCGCGAAGGGGCGTTAAAGGACTTGGAGCAGATGGAATGGGACGCGTCGCAGTCTCAGATTCAGACATGGTGAGACGCGTGACGTCACGCGTTCTTTATGTGGTCGTGTTGTTCCTACGGGTCCGAACATGACATAGCCTGGAACCCAGAAAAGGGAAGCGCAGAATCGCCTCCTTCTGCGCAATGCATCGACCCCATGTCAATATCCCGACCCTTCCCCTCGGTGCTCGTGCACCCCAGAGCCCCCATCTCTCCTCCCCCGCGTACGACTTCCAGGTTACTCCCCCGCCATACGATAATGCCTGGGATCTCGAAGACCCGGAACCCCAGTCGTCCGATACCCCGCGTCCGCGCACTCAGTCTATGTACCAATCGCCCGATAATCCATTAAGCCGCACTACTAGCGCATCTGTGACGGGCTATATGCCTTTCCCTGAGCCCCAGATCTACCGCTCTGCTTCCGCGTCGGCTTCGCAAGCTCACCTGGGTCACAGATATAGCAGGAGCGACCTAGGACCCGCGGCTCTTCGCCTCCAACGCGATCCGTCAATGACCTCTTTCACCACTGATGCTTCTGGTGCATATTATCCCAACGACGACAGCGAATTCTACGCGTCGGGTTCCGCAGATGTGCGTACTCTCCACTGTTTTCGACCCGCTGCCTAATCATAATCACACCAGTCGCACGGAGATTCTAATGAGTCAGGCGATGAATTACGGGGTGACCTATCGTGCGTCATTGATTTCTGATGCAAATAGTCCTACTCACGACTACAGACTGCACTCGGACGGACTGCGGTTATTCCAGACAGGAGACCTTTCGGATCGCGATGAAGAATGGTACAAACTGGTGCCCCCAGAAACACGAGATGCCCTTGGTAAACGGGAAGTACAACGACAATCAGTGATATTCGAAGTCTTCAAAGGTCATTTCCTCCTGTGTCCGATGATTTTTCCTGACACACTTGCAGCTGAGCGGGAATATGTGTTCGACCTAGAAGCCGTGCGAGAAATATACATCGAGAGACTGCGTTCAGCTTCTCCGCCGATTATCCGCGAAACCTTCCTACACAAATTTATAACGGAAGTCTTTGGAAACCTCGATCAGGTCCTCGCTCATCATGAGCGTATGCTCGGTGCTCTCTTTGCGCGCCAGAGAGAACAACATCCACTCGTCAAGTCCATCTCGGACATAATACTAGATACTGCATTGAACCAAGACTTTCGGTCTAGCTATGAGGTTCGTATGGAAAAAAATAACCTTCTTCAAATCTTGAGACTTTTCGTTAGGTTTATATCAAAAACTATCCGCTTGCCGAATCGCGCCACCGCAAGGAGTTGAGTCAAAACGAAGACTACCAGGCTTTTGTTCAGTCAGTGGCGACCGATCCGCGAATCCGGAAACGCGACTTGACGACTTTTCTCTCGCGGCCCGTCACTCGTCTGCCAAGATTAAACCTTCTCTTGGAGCAGATCCTAAAGCTAACGGATGATGGTCATGTTGACAAGGATACGTTGCCAATTATTCTCGATGTCCTGACTAGCTGCATCAAGGTTAGAGCTTTTCGGTTGAAATCTATATGTCCGGTGTAACGCTCTCTTAGAGTACGCAGCCTGGAATCGAAGCCGCAGAGAACAAAGTCAAGTTTTGGGCGTTCGCCCAGAGTCTCATCTTCCAGAAAGGCGAATTGATCGCAAGTTCTTTCTTTCTGACCCATTTCCGCGCTGACTTGTTCTCAAGGATATAGACCTGTATGCCGATACTCGGAATTTGGTTCGACTGGCTCCAGTGTCGCGATGGAATCGCACCGAAACGGGACTATCTGCATGGGTAGATCTGACAGCCGCGCTCCTCGACAATTTCTGTGCGTCCTTTTCCTGTGTCTTCACCACTATCGTTCATCCCATACAGTCATTTTAACGCGCGAGGAAACTCGGTCGAATGGCGCTATCAAGAGATACCTTGTATCGCGTGTACATTCCTTCTCTGATATGTACTGTAACATTCTAAATCCTCATCCAGCCAATCCCTCTCTCGTTCCTGCGTCTGGGATCCTTCAATTCACCCGCCGAAAATCGTAGAGACGGTCTCAAGTTCCACTCTCTGTATCCTTTCACTATCTTTCACGCGGCCAGCAAGACACGACGATACACACTTTTCGTACAGACCGAGGCTGAACGCAGGAAATGGTACTCTGTTTTCCAAGAGGCTCTGGGACTGCATATGGCGCGGCAGGAAGCTAACATGGTTTGTTCCTCTGCTTTTACAGTCTATCCTTTGTTGATGCCGGCGGAAGTACTTTGAGCTACATGTGGTGACCGATGGGTTTTTCCGGTTGCCCACAGTAAGAGTTAAAGGGTCCAAGCCAACTGGAAGGATATCCGCTGCCGCTCCATTTTGTCCGTTGTGGTTTACCTCTGACCGTGTTTTGTACTCATACCTCAACAGCTGCCGACGGACGGAAGTTCCTTGCAGTTGGGTGCTTTACCGGTATATATGCGGGGCATTGGCAAGAAGAACGTGAGACTGATCGCTTTTTTTTGCAACCTTGTGTTTAATGTGAAACAGAGTTCCACAAAGCGTTACCCGCGTCCAACCCAACATCCCTCTATGCCATCGAGATGCTTTCACACAAACCGTTTCACAGATTTGTCGTGCAGCATGATGGAACACTTGTTTCGTATTCCCTCGACCTCCTAGGGCGTGTTGGCTTAGGTCAGGTAGACTCCAAGACCTTCGCTGCGTCTTTGGAGAAGCACGATGCCAGTAACGTCCTTTTCTCGAAAGTCATACAGATCGGGAAGCGGGTGTTGAGTGTGTTCTTTTCTTGTCCAATCGATCGCTGGCTGATGGGAACCCAGTCATCTATGCGTCGAAGCGGCTTTTCCAGACCACGCTGGATTTGTATGTACTGGAGGCTGTCGACGCCAACTCGTCTGTTTTGAGCCCCAAACGCGTTAATGGAAGTAGTTCAGCTCGATTCTTCAGACAATACGGAGATGTACGTCCCGCCTCGCTTCGTTGAGGTGTTCTCATCAGACATAATTGTAGCCTGGGTTTATCACCAAGGATGCGCACGATATCACGGCGCTCGTAAAGACCATTGCAATCTCGACACAGGACCGTATCGTTATTCTGGACCCTACAAAGTGCGCTGATCTTCTTTTGGCTTGGACTCACTTTGATGCTCTGCAAGTCTCACGAGATCGGCGATTACATTCGTGCCTGACTTCTCAAGCACAACGACCGCAGCCACTGCAGCGCCAATGGCTGCACTCAAGAAGCGTCTCGAAGGTATGAAACCGCTGGGTTTGCTCCGGTGCAGTGCAACCGAACTTTTGGTCGTGTATGATTGTGAGTCGTCCATCGACTTGTGAGCGATGCCCACTCATTGCTCCCAGCCATGGGCTGCTACGTATCGCGACACGGCATCCCCAGCCGGAACAGCGGCTACATACGGTGGGAGTGCAAAGCGACGTCTTTTGCCGCACGCGGGGCGCACGTCCTGCTCTTTTCGTCCAACTTTATAGAGATCCGGAACGTCCTCACGGGACTGCTCGTGCAAGTGATTGAGGGCCACGACATTCGCCTCCTCCATGCCGCTGACGACGGTATTCTGGTGGCCATGCGCGGTAAATATGATGATGAAGCGGGGGTGAGCGAGAAGGTCGTTGAACTACAAGAAACGGCAGAGATAAAGGGCCCGAGGACGGCGACGGTGCAAATGCCTGCGATATGGGACGAGTGGGACATGTAATCTAGGTGAACTAATATAGTATACTACTCGACTTATTTTATTGTTAAAATATCATGTATGTAGCACACTTTGTATCACTGTATTTTGCAATCTGCTATACGTTCGTTTTGGGTCTCCCATATAACTAGCGAGGAACGAGCGTTCAGTTATAGTCCCTGTCTGAGAGAGACTAGGTCAGCAGAAAAATCAATAACCAGGAATTCGAATCTAACCTGTCTGCTTCGAACCGTTATATACATATTCAGTAAAAGATGATTGGTTGTTCTAAATATGAACAGTACCGGACTCGGGGATCCATCCACCGCAAGTCTAAATTCAAACATATCCGACTTGCCTGGTTCGAACAGGCGAAATTATTCAAATAAAATGAAAAACTCATCCGACTTGCCTGGGTCCAACAGGCGAGATTTATTCGAAATAAAATCAAGAACTGATCCAACTTGCCTGGCTCGAACAGGCAAAAATATATCCGACTTGCCTGGTTCGAACAGGCGACCACCAGATACCAGATCACGTGATGAATATATCACGTGGCAACCATTACAGTCTGATGCTCTTCCAACTGAGCTAAAGTCGGCTTGCTGCATGAGGCCCAAAGTGAAGATATATCACTTGGCTCCTCAGTGTACACGTCGGACGCATCGGCGCTACTGCTGAGTCCCGTCTCGTGCTGCCCCTCCTACATAGAGCTACCTCCGCCTCTTCCCTGCCCTGTCGAGGAGGGCTTGCTCGTTCGATTCGATGGACGTTCCTTCCATTCTGTCAACACTGTATCCGCAATCTTGCGCCGCCAATACTCATCTTCAATCCCTCTCGCTTCCTGGGCTGCTGTACGAACAGAAACAGAATTCCTGCAGTATATCTATTATCGTTCCCGCCTCCAAGGCTGATGTTGACACCCTGACCAAGGAGTGGTCGCGCTGGTCTCTTGGAAATCTTTCGGGTTGTCGTATCGCTCCTGTTGCGATTCATTCTCATCTTCAAGTCGATGGGATTCTGTTCAGTGATACTGGCGATATGAAGGATGTGAAGAAAGAGTTCGAACTGAAGATATACGGACCGTGCAATGGTCCTGACGTTGCATGTATCAACTGCCAGGGAAAGCACCGTGCCGACTCACACTCATGCTCAAAGCGTAAGGAGCTTGCATTCTCACTTGCTGCTGCACCCTCCCTTAACTTCCTTCCTATTTCTTTACCGAGACTCATTCGCCCCCATCGTAAACCTTGATAATGCCCTGTCGTGTCTCCCCGGCCCATCCATAGTCCCTCCTTTTCGCAAATATGAGTTGGCGGATATCGTAGGGAAGGCCAAATTGAAAGAGGAATCTTGTACAAGTCGTCAGAAACTTACCCCGCGAGGTCAATCTAAGTTTGCCTCTGGGACTCTGCATCAACTTGCGATAGAGTAGTTATTAGTCAATAAATTGTCCTAACTACTTCAAAGCATTTAGTTTATTTATTATGTAACGGCTTACTATGTCTAGTATCACAGACGGCTCCGGTTTACAGGCGAGCATTTTTTGGCATCTTGCGCATCGCCTGGCGCACACCCAAGTCTCCAAGTACATCCTCGGCTGACCAGACAGTCAAAACGCTAGTTGGAGGAAATGCAAGCAAGAAAACGTACCGCCACCGAGTACACTGTCGAAAGGGACTGTTCTATGGTAATGCTCGATGTGCTTGCCCATGCCTCCGCGCGTAATACCGCGGCCCCCAAATACCTTGAAGTTGAAGGAAGAACGAGTGAGAATGTGACATCAGAGCAAAAGACCAAAAAAACCTGGACGGCATCGGCAGCAGTCTCTTGCGCCGTTTTCGTCGCGTACATCTTCACGAATGCAATTTGTCTGTGAGACGTTAGGCACGGGAAAGGTTTTGGAAAAAGCAAAAGGTGTTTACCCCGCTAAATGGGTCGACTGCTGTTTATAATTCATGTGGCACATCTGATACGTGATATTCTCCAGCCAGGCTTGTGCGCTCTCGACGCGGGAGATCATAGCTGGACACCCGAGTTAATACGAACTTGGATTCCGATTTGGATGGCACTCACCTGCAAGTTTGGCACGGATGACGGGCTGGGAGGTCAAAGGCTTGCCGAATACCTTCCTTTGCGTCGCCCACCTGGGAAAACACGTTAATAAGTAAATCGGCAGCTTGCTGCTACGATCGCGCTCACTTCATACACTCCTCGACGATCGCCCGCTGGGCACCGACGCTGTTGCAGGCCATTCCCCACCTACGTAGAATTTAGCAAGGGAATAATTATTCGGTGCAGGTAGCTTACCTCTCGTGGTTGAAGTTGCTAAAGTGCAGAGAAGTCATTTCAGTTTCCGTCGCGCCTCAAGAACGATGATGCGTACCTCAATATAACGCGAAGACCCTCCCCGTCTTTACCGAGGGTGTTTTCAAAAGGCACAAGCACATTGTCGAACGTGATATATGCCGTTCCTTGCGTGGCAGTTAATCTTCTCCTTCGCCTACGGCGATCGTCGTAAACTTACCAGCTGTAGGACTGTAGCTCGTCTTGATCGACTTGGTCTCAACGCCGGGTCCACGCTCGATCACCAGAACGACCATGCCCTTCTCAGAGCGGCATCCAACCGTGAAATAATCCGCCATGGTTCCATTGGTAATCCATTTCTGTACCTGGTGAGCAACACACTCATCGAATGCGCAGAGCCTCACCTTGGTTCCCGTAACGATCCAACCTTTGTCCGTCTTCTTCGCAAAAGTTTTCAAGCCGGCTAAAATATCGGATGAGCAGCTGCTGCTTTGTCCCCAAACTAAACTAGGTACTCGCCTACATCCGAACCCGCAAAAGCTTCTGTTATTGCAAGACATACGTGTTTCTTCCCTGCAAACACTTCCTCGACGATTTTGTCACGGATTGCAGGTTGGCCAAAGTTGATGATGGGAGGAAGACCAATATATGTTCCTCCACCTACATAGATATAAATCACAGTGCAACCCTAATCGAGAGACGGGCGTACCAAGACCATCGAGGTAGCCGCTGGGGCAAAAATTCATATGAAGAACAGAGTAGAAATACGAGGATGCTTACCGCGCGTGGAATCGAGAACCTTCCTGCGCCATGATCAATTCATGGAAATAATCAAGCTGTTAACGGTCAGCGCAACATCGATGATCAAGTAAGGTGGTACAAACTTCTTCGGGTTTCACGAGGCCATCCATAAGGACACGGCCTTTCAGATGGGGACCAGGTCCCAAACGCATCGCAATCATATTTATCTGGACATTTCGAATGAGCCTCGGCCAAGGATGTGGAAAAGCGCGGCTACATACACGGGCCATCGCATCGAAAACCGCCTGTGAGGGACGCTTACCGTCTTCTTCACGCAGTATAGCGTCGGGCATGACCTCCTCCTCCATGAACTTGCGAATGGCAACCTGGAAGGCCCGATGGCGCTGTGCACAACGGTTGATACATGCACTCTCACGCTGGATGAGCACACGGACCTCTGTGTAGTATGGGCTGTGGAAGCCGGGGCTCAGCCATGTCGGTTCTGCATATGGAACGGCGCTCAACGCGCCGATTGCGCGAGGGAAAATCTGCTGCTCCAAACCGGCAATGACACCGATTTGAAGTCGGGCGTATTGGGGCTTGAGGAGGACTTCATGCCGATGGAGACCAAAGAACGCTTCCGTCGCATCCTGGCCGGCTGTAAATCGCTTAAGTTGATGCACCGGGACGCAATTTACATGTTTTGTACGAACCAACTTCTGGGTCAATAAGAACACTCAATCCACCTGGGTGCATACCCGCGAACTTGGAGAGGTCGAACACCTTGCTGTCAATTATGACCCACTGTTTTCTGAGGTGAGTTGGGGACGTGAGACACGATGAACGGCGCACCAGGTCGCCCTCTTTGTTGTGCCTGGATACCTCGTCGGCGGTGAATTGTTTTGTGGTGGACATGGTGGTTGTTTGCAGTTCGGCGTCCAAGCGGGGTTCAAGTACTTTGGATCGATATCACATGCAAAGGCGGGCACAAGCCAATCACATGCAAAGCAGAAGCCAATCGCATCACTGCCATTTTGGCACCGAATAATATTTTTACAAGGACACCAATGCTGCACTAGAAGCTTCAACGACAACTTTCCCCCCGGTCACAATTTCCTCTTGGCATCTTCCTTTTGCCAGACCATTAGAATTCAACGCGAACGTCTGTCCTGCCCACGTCGTCTGATTTCCAAAAGTCACGTCGGCGCCAGGCGCCTGAAGCCGCTTCACAGTCACCGACTTGTGCCTCGGAGGCAAGAAAGCCGAAATATCAAAAGTCGTTGAAGGCCGTGGTCCAACTTCGGTCTGGTTGAATATTTGCAGGTTGAGCAGTGCAATTTTCGATGGGAACTCGTGAGCAGAATCTTCCCAGAATCCGTACACGACACTCTGGCCTGCGCTGAAATCCCCCCCTGCTGTGGTGATTGTCGAGCCATTGGACTGGCGTCCGGGCCACAGATTAGCTATTCGAAGAGTTTTGGATTGCCCAATGGTTTCCGTGACGAAGAGATACGCCGAGTACGACGGGAATACTTGTTTTTCGCCGTTCGAAGCATCCGCAGGGTACCTGGAAATAGTTGTGTTTGAATGAAATGTTAACGGAACAAAATTCCGACCATAAATCGTATCTCGATAAACCTCCATGGTTTAATTGTGTCGAGGATTGAAGGGCTAGCGGCCCCCCTTGGTGAATGTAGAGGCTAGAGATGCGATTCATGAACGCTCAACACATGAGCTTGCGGGATGGCAGACCGTGAAACGTTGAGAGAAGCTGGAGGGGACGGTCAATGAATGGCAATATAACTACGGGAGCCACACACCAGCATAGAATGTAGTATCCAAAAGCCAAAGTGCCTGGCCGAAAGTATCGGAAACACCTGCTTTTCCGGAGCATGACACGGAATTGTACTCGCCTGTTTTTCAATTATTCAAAAGAGAGATGCAGCAGCAACATAATCGTACCGATCACGAAAGAGTCAGGGCCGAGTTGCGCACGTACGGACTGGATCCGAGGCTGCCACAAATCAAGGTAGCTGTAGAATACTGAGTGAGTGAGACCGTCTGCGATACATTACTCAGAAGTTTACATTGCTAAACGGGTGTGGTTGACCTGAAAAAATGCGTGTAGAGAGAGCGAACAGGAAAAACAAAACTTACCAAGTTGGGTAGAGTCGCAATGGGAATTCTTTCAACAGGCTTGGACTTTCAAGTAGAGGCCAAAAAAAAAAAAGACCTGCCTGGGGGCATCGCAAACACTGTACTGATACGTATGCTAAGGCGGGATCAGCATTCGTTCTTACGCAAAATACCACTTCCTACCTCGCTACAGGACTTGACGGTACCGTCACTGTCTGCTCCAGCCGCTAGCGCACTGACACAGTCGAGCGCTGAGCTTGCTCCAGGAGCGTCATACGGCCAGAGAGGATCTTCTGCTGTGGCGGCAATTTGGAACATAGGTGCTTTGAATCCCAGCGCCTCGGATATGTTTTGAGACCAGGGCTTTATTGAAGATTGAACGCAGGCCGCATCAAGGAAAGAGGAAGCAAACCTCCC